GGTTGGCTATTCCATGTTTTGTTATTAAAAACAGGAAAGAAAACAAACAAAACAAAACAAAGCAAAACAAAGAGAAAACCCAAAGAAACAACCCACAGGACAAGTTGTATTTCAGGCCAATTTACTTCAATTAGCTTGTGTGTGCTCTAATTTGTCATTTAAATCTCAGATACTGGATATTTTGTTCATACAAAAGGAAATGGACATACAATGTTCCTCAGACAGCAGGTAAGAGATGAAGGTCCTTGGCTAAACCTTTCCCACACAGATGCTTAGCTCTCATTCTGGCCTTGTTTCCCGTTAGCTGGTTTTTCAGCACATAATAAGTTTACTCATGGCCTGTTTTATCTGACATTGCTGCCGCACAGCAAACATTTGCATGTAATAGCAGCCCTTTTTAAACCTCACACAATTCATTCAGCAGAAGAAAAGATGTCATATTGTGGAAGAAGCAATCACTTTCATAGAAACCCTGCTGAAATGGAATCAAGAGCTATTCCTTTTCCCTTCACAAGTGGCTCTGGAATTCCCAAAGTGAAAAATTCAGGAGCAAGATGAAAACACTGATAGCTTGTGTTGCACAAAGCAACATGCTGGCGTCTGACCAATGCTGCTGCAAATTCTTTCTTCCTTTTGGCACTGAACTATTTCACTTATGAAGGGCAGATGAATATTGTTCTAGAATTATGATTGCAGTTGTGCTTTTCTGATAAAGCCTTCTCTCTAATGCCAACAAAGCTTTGGAGGACATGTAAACATATCATCATCGTATAATTCTTTGATCAAGAAGTAGCTAATTTCAGGAGACCCTCAAATAAATGTAATATTTCTTCTGGATTTGTAGATTCTTTCCATAGTGTAAGTGAGGACCCTAGGATGAATCTGAAAAATTGGTTCTTATTCAAGTATATAGGTTACTTCATCTCAACCATGGGAGTGCAAACCCTTTAATTGATCCAAATTCTCTTGTAAATTTGGTGGTGTGTGCAGCTCCAGATTAAATATTGTCACATTGTCGTCTCTGATCAGCTGAAATAAATCCTTCCTCGCACAACATGGTGCCGGCATAGACACAGCTTTTGGTTTGGGTGAGTGGTGGGGAAGGGGGAAGGCACATGCCACACCCCATTGTGTCATGGTCTGTAGGCAAAGGTCACGCTGCAAAAAGAGAAAACCAGGGATGGTGGGAAGAACCAAAAAGGGAAGGAGGAGGCAGACTTGTGACTGTTGAATGGTAAAAAGAAAACTACTGAGAGCATACAAGTATGAAAAACCGCACCATGCTCTGCCCTGGGGCTGGGGTGTGCACTTGGAGAGGAGCTGCTGTGGGGCATAACTGCCTGCCTGGGCACCCTCTGTGCCTCTGGTTTGGAGCTGAGGATCCCAGCCCCTGCTCCAGCACAGCAAACTGTGTAGTACCTGAGCTGCCAGTGTCCCTGAGAGCTAAAAGCTGCCACAGCCGTCTTGTCTGGCCAAGGCCTGCCACAGCTGGGCTCCCAGCATCTCCTGTGTGCTGCATCCCCTTCCCCTGGGGAGAGCAGAGAAATGCAAAATGTCAGGAAAATGAGGAGAGAATATTTGACTACTGGAGATAAAAGACCCTGCTGAAAGCTGTGCCAAAACCCCTGGTTTGCCTATGCCACCGAGCAGGGCGAGTCCTGTGTATCGGCAATGCAGTACAGGTGCAATGAAGCTGATGTTGAGAGCAAGAACCCAAGGAAGGGATGGTCCTGTCTCCTCCCACCCTCCTACCCTGCTCTGGGTGCTGGCCTGTCTGTGCCCCAGCAAGGCTGGATGCTGGGGCACTTGGCTGGCAGTGCTTCCTATTTCCCAGTGTTGGATGAGATGGTTTCCACTGGTTTTGCTCCCTGAGCCAGCTCCCTGTGGCAGCAGGCAAGGATTAGCCCCAGCACAGGACAGCAAGCCAGCAAAGTCCCCATCAGCCAGGCTGCATCATTGCCCTGTGCCACTGCCACCCTGGCACCCACACTGATCTTAAGGGGGTTGGGGGTTTGACTGCTCAAATGTCTCTGCAGGTCTGAGCTTGCAAGTGCTGGTTCCACCTCGCTGCTGACTCAGGCTGCACTGATTTAAAGGCTGCCACCCCTTGGGCCTCTCCTGTCCCTTGGGCTCCAAGTGGTGGGTTGGTTGCATGGGCAGAGTATGTGCTTTGGTCCCTGCAGCTCACAGCAAGATACCACCAGCAGTTATTAACATCTGGGGCAATGAAAGGCAGCAGTCAAGGGCTGTTAGTTTTCTGAGCTTGCAGTATCACCAAAGGGCAGTTCCGCTGTCCCTCTCCACCCCACACCTTCCTGCTTGTTTCCTACAGCTCCTGTGTTACACTGCCAAGAAAAAAAATACTCTGTTTTCAGCTGGACAGGGGCTGGCTGGCTGCATAGGACCCACCAAGAGCCTGAGGAAGGCAGTGAGAGCAGCCCTGTGGAAGATGAAGAGGGGCAGACTGCCCTTTCCCAAGGGCAGTACAGATTTGGGCAGCTATCTAGCATTATTTCCCTTCAGCCTTGTTTTCGTGGCTGCCCAGCTCTGACAGCCAGTGTTTTCCCCCACAGCCTTGCTCTCCTCTTCCATCACAAGCTGCACTGACCAGGCACCCTTCCATCACCAGTCTCACAATAACAGCCAGAAAATAAGCCTGATCAAATTGTTTATCTGCAGGGAAATAGATTACCAGGCAGTTTCTCAGCTAGTACAAAAGCAAAGCCCATAGAGCCACAGCCACTCACACCACACTGAAGCCAGCTTTTCCCTCCAAACCAAGGGATCTTGAACTTTTCCACAAAGCACAGCTGCAGTTTTCTCTTTCCTCTGACCAGCTGCCCGGGTTGTGCTGAAACTACAGACCCTTTAGACTCATGAATATTAACATGCTAAAGAAATGGGGACAAGTACTGGGCCATCCTTCCTGAGGGTGTCATAGCAACCAGACAGGTAGTCCTGAGCTGGCCACAGCCTCTAGCACCCTAGAGCTGTGTGATTAGCATTTAGACAGAGTGTCCCCAGCTGCTCCTTTATCCTATCCCATCACTAGCTACTCATGTGCAGATGATTTCCATCGAATTTCCATCAGAAGGAGCCAGGTGTATTTAAGCTGTAGGGCTAGCTTGTTCCTCTCTCGGAGAGGATTGGTTTTGTAGGAGAACTGGTGATTTGTTTATCCCCTTGCCTTAGCAGCTTGCTCCTCTGGGAAACAAAGTAGCAGGTCTTGTTTAGGCCCCCTGAAACATTTGTTTTTTTATTGTTTAGGGGTGAGAGTGTGTTAGGGGATGTGATCTTTCTGTCCTGATGGGACTGTGGAGTGTGCATTAAGCCTGTGTGGCACTTGGAAGGTACTTGGCCTTGCAAGAGCTCCCTCTACAATACTGAATTTTCTAGTCCCTGTATATTTTTTTAAAAGAATTGTTTGCTTTCAAAATAGTTTAAGGTAATGACAGGCTGAACAGATTTACTTCTAGATATTTTTTTTACTAATAACAACAGGTTGTGAAAGTCTTGCTGTGCTGCAATTAAGTCTCAAGTAGGAAAAAAATGTGTCTTTTCTTGACAAATGATTGTTGCTATTTTGGTTGACCATTTTAGCTATTACCATGCCTATTGGAAATCAGTGTCAGCAAAATCTCTAGTGCCTGTATTGATCCTAAACTCTGCCAGTAAGGACTCTGGCATCTTAGTAAAAACACCCTGAACAGTTATTTTGCCTTAAGGCCACATGGTTGTCTGTCTTCAAACTGACAGATAGGTCCACTCTTTGCAAGATGAGCATGATTTTGAGTTGGAATGCAAGCTATCATCCGGGTTTATGTTCTTGTTACAAGTCATTTTGCTAAGAGCACTTGAACAACATTAATGTAGGAAGGTTGTGAACATTACTGTTCAAGTGTTTCTTTAATGAACTTTTAACTCTTATGAAAGCAATTAAAACAGCTAGTGGCTGTATAATTATTGCAGGTACTCGGGCAGTGTGTGAGCCCCTGCACCTTTCTGGAACTTCCATCAGAGATGAGGCAGCAGCAGCCTTGGCTTCAGGGGCCAAGGCCTGGGCCTTGTTGGTTTGGGCATGACCTTATCCAACACATTTTTTATGCAGTCTGGTAAGAGGGAAGCTCCTAATGTCTTACTTCAGCTTTGTCTGTGGAACAGAGCTCAGGGTGGATTTCTTCTGGGTGTCAAACTAAGTGTGTTGATGACAGCTATAATCAACACAGAGGTGCTTATACTGTTGATGAACAAAAACAGCTGCTGGAAAAAAAAAAATATTCCTAGAAACTTGCATATAGCTTTATAAAGTGATTCTGCATCTTAGTCCTGCCAGGACTTAATTTAAGCCTATATGGGACCCATACCTTCAGTCACAGGGGTCTAAAATACATCATTGCTTACTAGTTTGGTTTGGGTTGTTGGTCTCTTGCAGCAGTGTCTGTGTAAACAGATGTCCCTCCTTCTGTAAGGTCTGGAAGTTTCCTGTTTAACTTTTTAGCACTACAACTCCCTTAAGGTTTTTTGGGGGCTTTCAGAAGCAACTGGCAGCTCATTAACAGTTTTTTATTAGCACAGAAACTCAGAGAGGGAGGCTGGTCACCTGGAGCCCTTGGCTTTGCTGGTTAAAAGGTATTTGTTGCCTGGTATTAGCTCAGGTTCTGTAACACAATGTGCAGCCCTAGGTGTTTTCATTTCACAAATAAAAATGTATTATAATCTCTTTATAGATGAGTTGGTGAAGTATCAGATCATTTAGATTAAACTATGCTGGCAGGGTGAGAGAAGGGGAGAAGTCTTGCTCCTCTTGATGTCCAAAGGGACAGCCCCTCTGCCTTTTTTCCTATCAAGAATGCAAGCAGATAGAAAGCACTTCAAATCGAAGTCAGAATTTGGCCAGCTTATCAAAGCAACTATAAAACCTAAAGGAAGATACCTAAGTGTGGGCTGATTGCTATAGTATGTGGTTGGCACTAAAAGGGGCCTGTTTGTGCCTCCTGCAGGCATGGCGGAAGCGCTGGTTTGTGCTGCGCAGAGGCCGCATGAGCGGGAACCCAGATGTGCTGGAATACTACAGGAACAACCACTCCAAAAAGCCCATTCGGATCATCGACCTCAATGAGTGCGAAGTTCTGAAGCACTCAGGGCCCAACTTCATCAAGAAAGAATTTCAGAACAACTTTGTCTTTATTGTGAGAACCACCTACCGCACCTTCTACCTGGTAGCCAAAACTGAAGAGGAGATGCAGATCTGGGTGCACAACATCAGCCAGATCTGTAACTTTGGACATCTAGAAGATGGCACAGGTAGGATCATGCTCACACTTGTCTTGAGGGCTGGATGGTTGATCTGTGTCTGGGCTCCTCCAGAGCAGCACTTGGGGTGAGAGGAAGCATGGACCTTGTTGGCTGGGCTGGGCAGGTGGTGGGGACAGTTTCCTATAGTTCCACAGCACTGAGATGCTGTTAAACCCTGTTTTGAAAGTTATCAGAAACCTCACTTCTACTGGCTAGAAATAATAGCTGGCTGCTTGGTCTCACTTGGATGAAGCAATTCCTGCTAGAATAAACAGCAAATCCATAATAAGAAAAGGTACTGTTTATGTGAAAAGCTGACTGGCTGTTATGTTCTGGGGCCATTTATTTTGTTACATGACCCATATTTATTTAGTTTGGTTTAATATAAGACACCTGTTCCAGGAAAGTCTCTTGAAAACCTCACATTTTCTCAGGCTTTGCTGGGTGTGGAATGTGCACAGGCTTGGGTGTATATGCAAATACATAAATCAATGACAAAAATACTGAGCTGTCTTAGTCTATTAATGAGAAGAAAAATAAAGAAAAGGCAGAGGACAGGAGAGCGTTAGAAGTGTGTGTCTAGACTTCAGAGATGGTCTTGCCAGTGAAGCATAAAGTCAGCCTGTTTTGCCAGGACCTACACCTGTATATACTCAGTAGGGTCAATTTCTTGGAAAGTTTCCAATAATGAACCACTCCAAGATGGATGTAGCCAGTAATTAAAGTTGGGACTTGTATCATCATTAACTTAGCTTTCAAATGAGACAATCAGGCTCAGATAACAGCAATCTGTCTTTCCCTTGACATTTCCAAGGGGCAGATGCAGCAGCAATTTGAGACCTTCATAGGAAGTGAGTCAGAACAAAGTTCTTCCACAGTGATAAAAGGCAGTGCAAGAGCAGAAGAGGGTGGTGATGGAAGGACTCAATCCCAAAGGTGGTAACGTGCCAGGGGGTATAATAGTGTGACTGCACATGTTATCCTGCCATGGTCCCCATTCTGCTGTGCCCAGACTGCTACTGGTGCCTGCTACTGCCACAAAACCATGTCATTACCTTGTAACTTGGAAGGAAACAAAAGGCCATGATGATGTGTTTTATTTTAATCTATCCTGGTTCCTGGATGCCTTTAATCTTCTCTTCAGTAGTTTATTCTGAGGGTGAAAATGAGTGGAAAAAGCACTGCAGTGGTCCTGCTATAAATGTGATGCCTGCTCTTTTCTCAGTCACTTTAGAGACCATCAGGAAAATGTGCAGATGTATTTTTATGTGCCAGTGCAAACTGCCCATGAATGCATCTTGCAGACTATAGCTGGTAGCTTTGAGGGATTGGAGTCAAATAGCCTTTTAGAGCTTGGATGTAATTGGGGATATTCAGCTGACCCCCTCCCTACTGACCTGCCCTTGTTGCCACAGAGATGTTGCATTTACATTGCTCCTGCTGGTGCCGTATTCTTTTAGATATAATTTACCCATTACTCTGAAACAAAGGTGACTCTTTCAATGCAAAACAGAAAAGAGAAAAATATTTTTGTCTCTCAAATGTGTATGCAGGCTTCTGCTGGCACTGTGCTGAGGATGTGCATGGGGAGAGGTGATCTGTGGCAGAGAAGCCAAGGCAGAGGCTGTCCCATGATAGATAAATTTATTCTGTGAAACATTTCTTCTGTTACACTGGTACAGTGCAACATTGCTCCTAAGGCTTACACATGGGCAATACTCAGAGTATTAGACAGGGCTGTTTCTCTCCCTGTGAAGACTGTCAGTGGAGACACAGATAAGATGTGACAGTTCTTGCTGTGGCAGTTGGGAAAGATGACATCCCAGCTTTCCATCCCATTCATGATGGATATTACCCCCCAAGAAGCTCAGCACAGCAGAGCATTT